TATTCTATATTTGAAAGTTTTTATAAATATATACTATAAATTATTATTTTTAAACTGTACTCCTATTAGGAAATTTTCTATAATTAAATTACAAAATTACAATAATAAAATTCTTTTGTATAACTTATAGTATACATATTAAGAATCATGCTGTATGTTTAAAATTAATCTTTATAGAGTTTACTAATAATTAATATTAAAAATACGTAATGCTATATACTTAAAGTTAATCTTCATAGAATTTACTAAGAATTTTTGAGATTTGTATATGCGACATTTTATTGGAAGGAATTCTTTTTACAGAAAAAAAAAGATATAATCTAAACTAAATTATCTAAAATTCATTACAAAAAAAAAAAATAGATCCAAAAAATTACTGATGCCCTAATATTGAATCAGCATGAAATTCGTCTAATAATATTGAAATAATTCTACATTTTTGTTGAATAACATCCAATTGTTTATGAGTTACCCAAGAAAATTTATCTATAGTTTTTGAATATTCTATCTGAGCCGTTAAAACGTCTGGAACAAAATAACCTTGTTCACCAAAACTTAAACAAGTTGAAAGAACATCTTCAGAAATTTTATGTTTTTTTAACAATGATTTATGACTATTGAATAAAATAAAAGTATATTAATAATATTCAATTGTGAATAATAAAATAATGATAATAATGACAATGATAATAATCAAGTAATTACCTAACAATTCTTTTTTGGATACAACCTTCACAAGAATATACTTGAAATTCCCAATACTTTTTTAATTTTCGTGGATCCTTTTCATTACAAAATTGACATTTCTTTGCCAAAGCAGCCAAATAAATATATTTTTGCTCTGACATATCTTTAAGTGGTTGTGATTTATATTGAGGAAAGTATAATCGACGAGAGTTACGCCAAATTTGTTGAGTAATAGTAGAAGTTGACCATAAAAAATTCCGAAGCTTTTTAGAAGTAGACGCAAGTGAATAAAGATCAACAGGTGATAAGTTTTCACAAATTTCGGCCAATACTTCATTGGGAAGTAAAATCAAATAAGGAACTTTTTGTAATTGATGAAATTTTGAAAAGATCATTTTGTTATTATTTTTGTTAGGTATTAGTGTGAAAACTGTCATGCTTAGGAGGCCAAAGATGTCGATATAAGAGTAATTTTCTGGATGGTGATCGAAATCTTATTTAAAAGATAAAATTAAGTGATCGATGGAAGATCAAGATCAAATTGTAAATGATATAAATATGGCTTAGAAGTTCTTACCCGAAAAAAAGGACTTGTTTATATAAAAAAAGAATACGTATGCTGCAATAATTTTTAAAGCAATAATCTGGGGTTATAAAGTATATAGTTAGTATCAAAGCACAAACCCCATTATCATAAACATTTCCGGACAGGAATTACAAATTACCAGTATGACATAAAAAGGTATGTATGAACTATAGTATTAATTTCAGAGCACTGGATGCACTGCATAAATGCTATCGATATTATAAAAAAAAAAAAACTTTAAAAAATAGTCAGAGGCCGAGTGGTCAATTTGGCCGATTGAGAACGAAAGGATTTTAGCAGGCTTTTTTATATGAAAATCTGTGTCAGGGGTGATAAATAATTTTTTTTAGTAAAAAGACATCGAATTATCATGCATTTGAGCTTGCATTTGCAAACTACAAGCTTTCCTGCAGTTTATATTTACCTGTAAAATATGAAAATATGCAAATACGACACATATTGTTTGATGCCATTTAATACATTAAACATCACATAATAAATAATATCATATGATCTATTATGAATGTATTAATTAACGAAAATGCTTCATGTGAAGATTATCTTTTTTAAAAGCATCGTCAATTACACAATGCTAGAATGAAGTGGCTCCGATCATATATTGATTGACAGTAACATGGGCAGTTTAGTTAACGTTAATATTCCCTCGAAATAAAAGTCTTTGTCGACATCAGGGTGACTTCAAAACGTAATAAAAATGCATTCTTGAGCATGATTGTTGAGCATCCACAAACAAATAAGGACTTATTTGCTTATTACGCACATTTATTGCATCAAATAGGTCCCAAATTTAAGTGTAAATAGTTAGCTTTAGGAAATTAAAAATCACTCCTATCTTCACGTAAATTTAGTTGTACGTTTATATTATCATTATATAATTAGTTACTAATATGGTGATGAAAATTTTTATTTGTTCTTCAGACACAAATATGTGACCCTGGATTTCCTAGTTAATTCAAAGAAATAAACGCACTGGTTCTTTGCTCTTTGTAAATATATGCATGTATGCTCATCTATTGTACGTACGTACGTAAATTGACCAATACGAGTGTTTTAAATCCAAATTGGTTAGAATCATAATAAATCTTTTAACAATGAGCACTTATCGTTCATAATTTTGCAGAAATTTCCAAATTCATTTAAAATGCGTGTCATAAGCGAAATCAACTTTATAAATACTCGACGTCAAGAAAACATGCACATAATTCGTCGGATCTGTTTAGGTATAAGCGGTGTAGTATTCAACTTGTCCTATGGCACCCACAAAGTGTCACTAAATCGTGATTTTTTGCCAATCAAATTTCAAGATCAGGTGTAACGGTACACGATCAAACGAATGTTCGTTTTGTCAAAAAATCGCATGTTTCTTGAAAATGAGCATAAGAAATCACTTTTTGTGCCTTAACAAAAAAATTTCCTCGAGAAATTTTATTATACACTTTTTTAACATCTAAGTCGAAAATGAACACTAACCCTATTTTATCGTTAGTGACATTTTGTGGATGCCCTAGTGATAGTCGATCACTATATCAAGGTCACGTTTTGATTTTGGTGTTTTTAGTCAACACTGAAATTGATCTTGGATTTGGGGGACTTTCTGGCTACAAGTAGAACATATTTTGCTTATTGATAAAACAAGAATTTTGAATTTTATAATTTTATCAAAAACATAAAATAAAACCTCCATAAGTGCACCATCTACATACCCTATATAATCTCATGTATATTGTTAAATTTTGGTACACTTATAGATATTTTACTATATTTGTGATAGAACCCCGAATAATACATATAAAAAGAATTTGGCTAAAAAAAACAAAATATATTACAGGTCGAATTAATAAGTATCGGAAAACAAATATCCTAACATGCAACCGATAGTCTACTGTAGACCCGTCAAATATCTGTAGCGTATTGGTAAAATATTGGGGAGATCAATATCAGAACATATTAGTAAAATATTGGGTATTCCGATATCTTACTATTAGCATCTTTAGTTTATTAAAAGCATTATACTATTTTATATAGTTATTGTATAGGGTTTCAAAAATATGCACGTGGGTATCAAACGGTAGCAGGTGATTGGCCGCGTAGCGGC